ATATTTAAAGAGGAAAGGAAACATTGGCAGGAGGCAATGTTTGAACATGGCACAGATACCATAACGTCGTGAGACGAATTCGATCTTACCTGCATCCGAAGGGAATGTAATGTCTTCCCTGTCCAAGTCATCCTCGCTTTCTAAATCGTCGTACGGTCGACTTCCGTTGCTCAATGCGGCAGTAGCAGAATGCGCAGAGGTGCCTAAAGTCATTAGGGGGCTGGTACCAGTTGTTCTGTAATAACCACCTGTGTCGTTATGAGTCGATATATGAGATGTATGGTGAGAAGTGTGATGGAGTTGCAAAATTGGCACTGCTGTCGGAGGTTCCGAAGAATTTCGATAGCCATGTTCTGCGCAAGCAAGAATAATGCGTTGTGAAATTGATAATTACGGAAGTAAGGATAATTACCCCCCTCGCCTAAGTCGAGAGGTAAAACAAGAGTGATATTCGTACGACGTACCAATTGCCTCGACCCTCGAGGAATCACAGTCCTCCAATCCTTCCTCTAGCTCGTCCCACCACGGGGGCTGGACCAGCCGTATATCCGCACGTTTCACCACGTAACTATCACTCTGGTCATCCTCCCTTGGTATTTTAACAACGAAACGGTTAGGCTTGGTCAAGATTTTGCACACTGTCCCTTTGACAAACACTTTAGCAGCGTTGATATGATTGTTCGACGTTGGACACCTAATGCAAACTTTCGCGTCCAGAGTCACTTGGCCAACCGACGGGCTGGCGTCGCTTATCACGTCGTATCTGCCCGCGCCCAGAACGTCAGTGTAACGCATCAGTTTTTTCTCCCCGTCGAACTCTATGTAAATTTCCCCCTGAACAACATTGCGAATAACACCCGAATAATAATACGAATCCCTTAATGCTAACACTCTGTGGTCGCGCCACTCGCTGAGATCAATAGCAACGGTAGTAGCAGGCCGAGGACGAGACCGTAACGGCTCCTCTCGAACAGAATAATCCACTGCTGTACTTTGAGGTGGTAGAACTACCACCGAATGCGCCGATGATACCTGTGTGCATACGAATAAAACGAAATAATCCATCGATTAATAAAATCTCACGTCTTTGAGATCATTGAGTACTCTCGGTACTCGTGTATTTCTACTCGGGCATACACACACACACACACACACTCACTTGATAACAATCGGAGTCTTGCTGCTGCGGAGATTGCCGAGTCGCTAACGTTGACTGCTGAACTAAACCTGAATTGAGACCAAGCGGCATACTCGGTGCCCGTACGACGTTCACTATGTTGTTTATGGTTCTCGTTACGTTGCTAGTTTTATCCATCTCCTCGAGCTCCGATGGATCGAACTTTCGCTTCTTTGGAAGTTTCTTAGCACTGATCGTTGGATCCGATGGATCCCGCTGGGGAGGCGCCGGCGGCGGGGGTGGTTGTTCCGCAATAGATTTTTCCTCGATCGAACTGCTGCCGCCACCACCCCCGCCTGTTCCATATTGTCCGCCTCCAAGGGGATCTCGTTTCTCGTGCATCTCAGAATGAGCAGTCAGCATTTTGGCCACCTCACGCTGCTCTGCGGATCAACGTTACCAAGAATTTATGAATCGACGACAACGACCATTCTGCACAGTGCGTGCGTGCGGCGTATGTACATTTCGAAGAACAGATTGAAGAAAGTGAGTTTAAGTAAGCTCTCGAGTATGTATATACATACATATTTATTGATAGACGCGTATACAAGTGGGTGTAAATGAGTAAGTACATACGCACGCAGTTAAGTATATATACTCACAGTCGGTACAGTCGAGAGGAGGCTGTGTGCTGAAATGTGGCGAGTTGAAGCTGGGAGGGTGATGACACCGGCTGGGTGCATACCTCAGCACCCGGCTGTCGGGGACAGGATGCGTCGAGTCTGGGCTCTCTCGTCTTTGTCTATCTTGCGACAGGGTTGTTGCTGTTCCCTCTCCCAACTCCAATTCTTCTTCCCAGCCCCAACTGCCGAGCATCCTCCTCCGAAAATTCTCCTCTTAGGCGAACACTTTTCTCTTCTTTCTTAATTGTCTTCTACCTCTAGTCAATGTCCTGCACAATAGAGAGAACCTCGTTGACAACGGTCACTACAAAGTTCTGCGAACACGCTCCTCCACTCTCTCGCTCCACGGCCCGTTTCTCCCTCCGCTTTTCGCTACGCAGTTTCGGCCTAACACCGATAATCTCGTTTCTTTCGCCACTCTCTCTCTCTCTCTCTCTCTCTCTCTCTCTCTCTCTCT